ATTAGATCCCTATGAGATAGTCTTAATTTTATTAATGGAGTTATAAAATTTTGTACACTCTTGGCCTATAGTCAAATATTGGTTATAAAGTTAGATTGAATTTAAGATTGTGGATTTTAGTTTAGTGGATTGCTAAATATGAAACAAGCAAGTTCTGAGTCTTGTGCTTTTGTGGGATCCTCTCACAAGTGTACGGCATCTGTTTCGTTTTCGGTTTTAAGGTGTGACATATTTTATGGTATTAGAGCCTAGGTTTAATTAAACGCTTAGGACTAGTTTAGAACTTAGCTAGCAAATTAATTATAGGAACGTGGTGAGGCATGAGAGTGGGGTTAATTAGGGACTCTTGTTTGATTCTTGCTTGGATGAACTCGACTTGTTAAAAATTTTCCTTGCTCTTGGATCATAATGTTCCTCATGTATAAAATTTTTATTGTGATTATTGAGACTTGTTACTTGGTTTTGACTTTGGATGGTGAAGTCCTTAAGTTTTATTCAGTGTTATGATGAATTAGAATAATTATTTTTGAATATTGGGTTGAAAGTTCTAATCTCTTGATTGCGTATTGGATTGGTTGATGATTATATTACTTAGTTTCGAAAATAGGGAATTGCCTTGTATTTTTGTTATTCAGGATACTTGATTAACTGTCTATATAGATGGCTCCAAAATGCCGTAGGGGCATGAAGGGCTGCCGTGAGGACAATAGCACTCCTCCAATTCCAGCTACTAGTCTCTCTGCCTACTGCCTAAGCTGCTTGATGAGTTTAAGTTTTATACATTTATTTACCCTTCTTTTTAGCTTGAAAATTAATTTTATGAGTGTTTTATAACTTAGTCTCACCTAAATTTACATTTATCTCATTGTTTTATAGGTGGAGATTAAATTATAAATTTAATAGGAATTAATTTCTCAACAAATGTTAGTTTGCACATGTTGTACTAATTCTGCCATAACTTTTTCTTCAAACATCAAATTGAGGTGATTCCTAAGGCATTGGAAAGCTAAGAAACAGAGTTACAATTTATCTTTTATGAGTTCAACCCAGTTCAGTCAGTTTCAAAAAAGAAATTCAGTTGGAATGCATTGTTTTGACAGGAGCCTGGCAGATTGCGAAAAAAAAAAAAGAGAAAAGAAGGCTGGGCAATGTTTTTTTCAAGTTGTGGGCTACCAGGCCCAAAAAGTTTAAAAGCCCTAGTAGGACATGGGCTAGAAAAAAAAGAGAGGAAACAATTAGAGACTATTATTATATAAATATACACATCTCCGCGCACAGAAGAGGGGAAGAAGAAGACGCCGCCATCGCCTCAGCCCTGTTTGGATCTGCAGAAAGGTTCTGTTTTCCTGATTTTTTGTTGTGCATTTTTTAGAAGAAAATCTGCAGAGAAAGGGTCGATCGATGCTGCTAAAGCGTTGTTCTTGGGGAGGAATCTCTTCTCCGATTCTGCTTCTCAAAGATCTGCACAGGAGAGAACGCTGCCCAGCCTCTGTTTTCTCTTCTCGGCCAGCCTTGCTTGGGGAAATCGGTACAGCAAGACGCCATTGAGGACGAAGTGCAGTTCAGCTTGGCTCTTCATTGGACTGGTTTTTGTTCATTCTTAATTTGATTTTTTTTTTTTACGATGGTTATTTACTGGTTTTTGCTTATTTATGTGTGGTTAAATTTCTTGAACTAGAGTTCTATGGATTTTAATTTTTGAATTATGTGAACTTTTTTTTTTTTAATTTAATTCAAGATTTTTTAATTATTTGCATGATAAATTTATGTTATTGAGTTTAATGCATTGAGAGTCTGAGTCATTTCAATTGATTTAGTGATTTATGCATAAATTTGAGAAAGAATTGCATAAAGTAAATCATAAATAATATAAACGGTGTGTTAGATTATGAGGTAATTAGCTTACATGTGATAGTGGAGGAAGAGAAGAGAGGAAGGAGCTCTCCTTTCTTAAACTAGAGGTTTTTATAAAATTTAATACTCATTAGTTTATTTAAAATTACAATAAGAGAAGAATTAACTTGACTTGAGAAAACTAATTAATTAATTTAAGGAAATCCGCTATCTCATGCGATAACCCTAGTATTTGAATTTGAATTAAATTAATTAAATAGTTGTATAATTTAGAATTAAATAAAATCTAACTCTTAGTTCTTTCCCATTCATAATTTCTTTAATTTAGAAAATTCCCTAGTTTAATTAGTTTTAATTAAGTAGTTCAACTTAAGTTAGATTAATATCGTCTTGATAGTATAAAATAGTTCTCAAGAGAATGATATCTTACTCATCTTATACTGTATAATCAATTAAGTTCACTTGTCTAAGAGTAGTGCATATTTGATGCACCATTGCTCCTCAAGAGGGAGGCGCAAATAACCCTCACATGGCTATGTTTGTTCAAGAATTCATGGCTGAGATGAGACGCCAAGCATCTTTTGCCACTAACATGCCACCTTCATCCCTAGTGGTTTTCACTCCTATGGCTTCTGCTCCTATTTCTTCTACTGTTGTTGTACTTAACTAGATCTGTACAGAATTCCAGAAGGTGGTGACTAAAAGATCTGATGATACAATGGGTTTTGAGCAGGTTGGGTCATGGATTAGCTAAGTGGAGAGAAGATTCCGCCTAGTGAAAATTTTTTTATGACCTTAAGGTCGATGTGGGCAGTTATATACTTACGAGTGAAGCATTAACTTGGTGGGAGAACTTCTTGAAGTTGCAGCAAGGAAAACTTGAATTGAGCACTTGGGCACCTGGGGTGGTATTAAAAAGGTGTTCATGTAGGAATACATACCTGATAGCAAAAGGCATGAGCTATAAAGGGAATTTGCTGATCTAAAGCAAGGGTCACGTATTGTTGAGTAGTAAAAGAGGGAGTTTGATTGTTACGTGCCTTTTGTGGGAAGTCAGGTTAGGGATGAGCAGGCTAAGGTTAATAAATTTTTATGGGGCTTGAATCCTAATTTTATCCAGTGGTGAACCAATTCAAACTCACCACTTATAGAGAGGTAGTGGACAGAGCCATAAATCAGGAGAAAGCTATGGTTAGAGTCAAGTCATTAGAGCAGCATGATGTTGGGTCATCTTTTAAGAAGAAAAAACTTGATAAGAGTCATAGACCCTTTGCTCTTGCACCGCATAAGTCTGACACCAGCTAAGTTTCTAAAGAGCCAAGAGCTACTAAAACTGTGGGCCAGGCATTAGTAGCACAACATGCTCGTCCTGCTTAGCTTACTTGCCATGCTTGTGGGAAAGTTGGACACATTCGCAACCAATGTCGCATTACTACTGAGGCTTGCTTTAGATGTGGCAAGCCTGGGTATCAGGTTGCAAATTGCCCATAGTCAGACCCTAGAGCTTAGAATACTCAGACTACATCTCAGCAGGGTTCTAGTAATCATGGGGTGCTCCTCAATAGGCGAGAGTGCAATGAAGCCCACCAACAATGCTCAGTGGGCTCATGTTCTGTGTGCTGTGTATGTGCTAGAGGTGTTCTTTTAGGACCTAGAAGGTAAAGAGGGCATTGACTGCTCTAAGGTTCCAAAGAGGAGGTTGGCAGAGAAATGCTACATTTGCAAGAATAGAAGTGGGTGTGCTATTGAGTGCTCTGAGCCTAAATGTCCCCTGTGGTTCTATGTTACTTGTGGATTAAACAATGATCTTTCCTTTGAGTATAGAGAAGGAAAAAAGGGTGCTGTTGTAGCTGGGTTTTGCCAAATCCACATTGAACTCTGGACAAAGGTATATTTCTTCTTCCCCCTTTTTGCTTTTGATACACATTATTGATTTTCTTCACATATTAGAGGTTCTCATTTGTTGTTGCTAATGTGTTGTTTATTGGTTTTGCAGCAACAACAGATAGGAAAATTCAAGATTGTAGCTCGAGATGAGAACTCAGAAAGTAACCAAATAGGGTGCTAACCAAGTGTTGTTGCACGGTACTAATTCACTTGCTTGTTGAAACTTTTGAATGCATTTATTGTTCCTAATTAATAGATTTCACCTCATGTTTAGTTAGTCAATATTGATATTTTACTTTGGATAATTTTAGTGGCTTTTCTAATTGAACTTGTTTTCATTCAGTAGTTTGTTCACATGATGTTACTTACTCAAGTATTGTATGAATGGTTGAAATATGAAGCTGGTATGCTATTTCTATAGTGGTCTACTAAGATTAGATACATATTGAAAGAATTTTGCCTACTCCCCTTGAACATTCATTTTGGTCTACCTGTATGGTTGATTAATGTATAGAAGGACAAAAACAACTTTTGTCTTCTGTTAGAAAAAAAAAAAAAAATACTTTGTGAGCAAGAGTTTGAAAGGAAGGTTTTACTCTCGGTAATAATATACAAGTTTTATGTGTTTTAGTTTGAATTGTATTTTTAACATATAGTTTGAACATTGAAATTATTGAATAATCATTAATAATTGAACATAAAAAAAAGTTTTATTAAAAGCTTT